ATATATATATATATTCTGTTGTGGTCTCAATCAGGTTTTTTTTCTTTTTTTTTTAAATTACCACCAATCAAAAAGTAAAAAAATAATAATTTCTGAATCAAAATGGTCTTCCCTCCTAAGTCCAGAGTCACCTAGGTGAAATTAACTTTATTGTCAGTGTTAACACCAGGAGTAGCAATGAAGCTGATAAGATCATCAGTTTAACTGAGAATCTGCTCAGAGCTCCTGATTTCTGTGGTCACCTTTGGGTAGGGGTGGGTGAAGCGGGCAGTATTTGATTCAGATTCAGCCCAATTCAGGAGACAGTGATTCGATTCACTGATTCGGATTGCTGTCCTGATTTCAATTTGGCTGAATCTGAAGATTTGATTCTGATTTGGACAATCAGTGATTCGGCCATAGACACAGCTTTATATGTTTTTTGTACCTACCTCGAGGTACCAGGCATGGCCTGTGAATGCTGAGATGGTGGGGCAGATGGAGCCACTTCTGGTGCCCTTCTGAGTCCCCCCAGGCCCAGGAGGCACCAGTTGCTGAGCCACAAGGCAGGGGGGTCCCACGCATGCTCCGCAGCGGACCCAGAAGTGGACTGGATGTACTTCTGGTCCACTTCTGGGTTCATTGCCGAGCACTCAGGGGACCTCCCTGCACTCCCGTGAGATGCTCCATCTGCCCCACCATCTCAGTGTTCACGAGCCACACTTGGTACCTTGAGGTATGTAGAAATAACATATAAAACTGTGTCAATGACCAAATCGTCAAATCTCTTCGAATCAAATCAGAGGCTTCTGATTCAATTCAGAGAGATTAATGGGTCTCCTGATTTGATTTGGATTCAGAGATTCAGCTGTCAAATTGGGCTGAATCTCCCTCAAATTGAATCAGTGACCAACGCTTAGCACAGCCCTACTGCTGGGAATCAGGTGGCCTGGGACACAAGCTGTCTTGGAAAGTCCTTGGATCCTCAACCTAGAGTAGTTCTTGAGATGTCACAGACCTGAAGAGCCCATTCCAGGACTTCCAGGATTTGTCTCAGCTCTGCAGCAGGGAGCTTAAACAACCTGAGAACACTAGTCAGTTAGGACTTCTGTATTATAGCCAGGCAATCTGTGTGGGCAGCTGCTCAAGAACTGCAGACCTTGAATTATATGGATTCTTGCATCTGGGAAACCCATCCATTGGAGCTGTCACACTGCCAGAGTCTTAGAGCCCTATCAGCATTTCAGGGAAATAGATAATTTTTTCCCATCACTTCAGGTGGTAAGTCAGGAATGATAGTTCAAGCTGAAAAATTCTGAGCAAATAAGTCCTAGAAGTCCAAAAGGCTAACTTAGTCTGGGAATTTCAGAGCATGTAGGCTTTTTTGCTGTTGAGCTGGAAGTGGAGACTGTTAGAATTAGGGCTCTCTGAGTCTCAGAAAGATGTGGAGTGGAACCTGGACGTGGCTGGATGCCAGAAAACTAGGCTCGGATAGAGGGTTGGATCCCCAGTAAACTTACAGGATCCCTACAAGTTGGCTTCTGATTGTTCTAAAATGGTTAAACCCCAGATGTTTTGGGCAGAATAGTTTAGTTTCAGCATAGTGACATTTTCCAATAAACTGATTTGTTGGAAAATCTCTTAGTGCAGTCTAACTGTGATGCGACACTGTGATGCACAGGAAAGCAACAAACACATGTGGGTTTGAGATGGGAGAAAAATAAAAGAAATCTTATAAATAAGGTTATAAGGATATTCAGGTGGAATGTGTATGTACTTGATGTCATAATATATATAGACCAACTTCCTTTCTAGTAACCGGCTCTAATCATATATATGGAGAGTCCTTGAATCTTGTCTTATTTTGCTTTAGAATATTTGACATATGACATTATTTGCAGAATGTAATACCTAGATCTGTGCCACAAAATCATTATTCTGTTTGCTAAATGTATTGAATTCCACCTCTTAGTTACATGTGGCTTTTGGGATGTAGTTTTTCTGTACATTGGCTTAAGAGAAGAAATGGAAATCGTAGGTCCCCTCTACACATTACAGGTATTGCGCAATTAACAAAAACCAGCTACATGTGCAGAGTTACCTATCATGCCATAAAAGGCTCAAACCAGCTATAAAGTTAGACCTTGAAAATGTGTACTAACATTATAGCTGGTTACTATTCAGCTTTAAATTGCACAACTAAGGGGGATGCTGGTTTGTGTTAGCATGCCTCCCAGTGTCAGAACCAGCCGCCACCATATCCCATCCCTAGGATTTTCATGCACCACAAGCCTGGGAGACCACAGCAACTAGGACCTCTCGTCACCAAGGTATTCACACACCACCAGGGCTGGGAGATCATGGCAGCTGAGTCTCCCAGGCACAGGGGTGCATGAAATGCCCTCGCAGCTGGGAACTCCTCAGCTTAGTGGGCTGTCAGCTGTAGGAGCTTGCTGGTGCAGTAGGAGCCCAGGATTGGTTTCTTTCTGCACTGGCAATAAGGTGTGATGGGATCTAATGTGCAATCCCACAGTCATACTTCCTACTATACACACGTGGCATGGCAGGAGGTGCAATTCTGTGGATCGTGCATTAGATCCCATTGCATCTTCACCTGCACATGTAGAGGGGCCCTTAATTGAGTCTATATTAAAAGACTGTTTTGAATATATTTTCATTAAAGCTACATTGTATTTATTGTTTCAAATATGTGAAGATACATCTTTGATACTAAGACATAGCAGGTTATCAATTAGTATAATGTAATGAGAAGGATTGTTGACTTATTTAAATGTCTCATCTTCCAAATTATTTTTTCAGGCCAAGCAGTAACATAAAGAAGAGCTGTAGTAGAAGAGACAAGGAAAAAAGAAAAGCAGAGGAATATCATCTTGTTCTCAATATATTTATACACAGGTAAGATGATTTGTATTTTATTTGAAAGTTTTGTCTTCCCTTACCATTTTCTACATGATCCTTTTTCTATGTAGTTATAAAACACCCTGATAGTACTGTCTTAGTAAAATGATAATGTATTTAGTTGCATTTTGAAACTTGATAGTGTAAAATGTTTGTGGCAAATATAAATTAAAAAACGTCAGTTCTGCTAAAGATCTTGGATCAAATCTGTTAAAAAAGGAAGGCAGCAGTGTATCATGACTTCTGTTGAAGAAGTTACTCAATATTAAACTGTGATGTTCATAGAAACTGAAGATTTGTGCGATGTGCATATTAGCAAAAAAACTTCCTCTTACCCCATTAGTTTTTGTGATGGTGCCATCATGGCTTCTTTGGTCCCATGGTTTAGGTCATGAGAGTAAAAAGTCTGTTTTGAAGACAGCTTTGATTTTGCTTTCTGTTCTTTTTGTATCTGCACTTCATAGATCTTTTGACACTGGAGTAGAGATAGCCTTCCTAGAATTGAACAGTTTCTGAATAGTCATTTGTGTATTCATATATGACTCTTATAAAAGAAAAATCTTATTTTGAGATCTTGAATACTGTGTACTGTCTGTTGGAACAGACTCTATTTATCTTGTGTAATTCATGAGTGGGTGGCTGCATGGTGGTTTATCTCTTATAGAGATGTGTTTCAGAGGTTTTCCCTACTTGAAAAAATGCATAGTAGATTTAAGAAGAGAAAAGAAGGAGCTGCATAACAAAAACCTTTAATTTTTGAACCAACTTGTGTTGCTGCTCTTTCACTGAGGGCTAGCTACTGTGCTTTTATCTACTGTGGGGTAACTAGCAGGCAATTACTGCATACCAACACATGTTTAGTAAATCCCAAACCCCTCCTATGCTGTAGCTTCCCAACATTCAAATCAGACACAGGTACCTGCTTCACAGCAAAAATGTAGCCTTACCTCTACTTTTGGCGCTCTAATATTTTCTATAGTTTGAAAACATGTATTAATGCCCAGGTGCAAGTGCATAGACAGTTTAAGTGCAGGTGGAAGACAATTGATGCATAAATCACTTTCAGTAAGGAATAATATTGACTTAAAATTTTTAAGTTGTGACTGTAAAATAGGTTGTGGAATGCCACAGACCCAAAGACAGAGATGAATACACAATTATGTGATTAGATTGATGAAAACAAAGCTCCAAATAACCTGTAGCATATTGATACATATAACCTTAGTAATAGACCTCATTGAAGAGAACTTTGGGCATTGATAAGTAGACAAGAGAGATGGGTAACTGCTCTACTGCAAATGCATGACAGCTTTGTTCCAGAGGCTGGTAAACTACTCGACCCAGAAAAGACAATCATAGACTGTACAAGAGAATGGATGCTAACCCAGAGGTGGGGGGAGGCGGCGGTAATTATTTGGGCCTGGAGGACACATAGGGAGTTTTGATGACTTGTTGCAGGTGGGGTCAGCACCCCACCCCAGGCAACAATTCATCAAAACGCCCTATGTGGGATGGGGCTGCAGGTGGGGACCTTTTTTTTTGGAGCGGGATGGATGGGTGAGGCTGAGATCACAGGGTGGGGTTGTGGACCAGTGACAGAGTGGGCCCAGGCCCTGGGGCAGAGCCACAATCCACTGCCCACAAGCCCCTGACCTGTAGAGGGGTGTGGGGGGAAGCATGGGGGGGCATGTGCATGTATATGTTGGGAGGGGAGCTGCTTGGATGCTGTTGCACTTAGAAAGTGGGTTTTTAAAGTTAGTGCCCCAAGAATTGACACAACACCCAGTTGATCAATAGAAGAAAGGCTTTAATAACAATACCACAGCAAAATTATAAAACCAAATGACAGAAAAAGACTCCTTCCCAAAATAAAATGAGCTACTCCACAAAGTCCTAGTACATATTTAGCAGCAATAGTGTTCTCTCCCCAGTGCCGGCGAAGGAAGCTGGTCCAACCTTAGCATGAAGTTTGTCTACTCTTGTATCAGTAAGGTATTATATTTTCCCTGTGGCCTGAGCATGACTGTACAAAGGAAGTCATGAATACAAGTGAGTTTTTAAGAAAACTTTCTGGTACTTTGAAAACATTTCAGATCTATATGTGGTTTTTTTGGCAGTTTGGCAAAAACAATTATCATTAGAGGGAATAACTGCAGTCATAAAATAGTTTGGTAAAGTCTATTACAGTTACACACTTAAACCCATACAGCCACATTTCCCTTGTCTTTAGTTATCTACTGCATTCCAGATGTAACATAAATAGACCCAAAAACCAGAATGAGGTGCTCTGTAACAGAAGGTCTGTGATCATTCTTCAGATGAAAGGTTGTTCAAAGTAAGCTTCTAATTCATGAAAGTGCTCCCTGTAGATGATTTTGTTCTAAATATAGAATAAGAATTGGATTCAGGCTCTGTTCCTTCTGTGAATAAACTAAGATCATTTTATATAAAGTATCTCCATTTTCTAAGGTAAATAGAAAAAAAAAGAAGAAAAGATTAAAGATGTCATACTGCCTAAGACATCACATAAACCTGACCCAACAAAGCACATAAGAACATGCTTAATTTCACAGGTAGCATATACTTGGGTCCTGCTTCAGGAGAACATTCATGAAAACGTTTACACACATATGATTAAACAGAGGCTTAAATTCCAGGAGTGAGTGGAGCTTAAGAATGTGCACAACAACGTAGTGTTAAGCATATTTATGTGTTTCTTGAATACGAGTGGACATAAGCAAATGATTAAATGCTTTCTGAATAAGACCATTAAGCACGTAGTTAACTTTTAAATCAATGAGAATTAAACATGTACTTAAATACAGACTCAGCTCTGTGCATTTGCTGAATCATGGCCACAATATCAAGCAGTACCTTGATTTGTAAAGGCACTAAATAAACTAAGATTAATTTGTACAGTACCTTAATGCATTCATCCTGGAAAGCCCAGTATATCCTGGCTTCTTCCCCTTCTTCTGGTGTCTATGGGCCCTTCCTCTGCTGCTTGACCCACAAGTCTGTCTGTAGCCCTGATTGGTGAAATTCTGGGTGAAATCTTGACCCACATTGAAGTAATTGATTTTTGCATTTTGCTCTGAAGTGGGGAGGGTGGAGTCGTGATTTCACCACTGGTGCTTAGTATGAAGGTAATGAGGCATAGTACACAGTTCCTGATGTCATAATTTTAATACCACTGCTTTGCTTAAAGGAGTAATCATAGTAAACAAAGATATAGTGGAGAGAGAGATGAGGAACAAAATGGGAGCAAGAAAGAAAAGATTTTGAGATAGGTAAAACACAAGATAGACTATAAAATATAAACAGTCTATAATGGAAGAGGTTTTAAAATATAGGAGCAGCATATATGAATAAAGATTAATGTGGCAGGGGAACCTTCCACAGTGTTTTCTTGTTCTTTATATTTTAAAGGATGGTGGACAAGCTTGATACAGAATTTGAAATGCATGTTTATTGTGGGATCAAATGGATTAAGGAAATATTCAGTTTAGGTTTTTCAGACACTATTTTTTTAAATATGATGCATTAATCCCTCTTTAAAAAGCAGATCTGCTGTTCAGGAACCTTAATAGAGATTCATTATTGCCGTTTTCTTCATTTCATTTTCTCATTTCCCAGTTTATTATACTTTCTTTAACTTAGGAATGGCAGATATTGATATTGCTGAAATTGCTGCAAGCTTGAATGAATTCTTTGCCTCATGAAAGAAGCAGGAGATTGTATAGGAGCCATAGGGTTAATTTTGCCTTCAGGGGAAAGATTGGAGTAAAATATTTTATAGTTATCCTTGAAATACAGGAAGAAAAAAATATAATTAGATGATAAGCGTCTAGGCCCAGGTGGAGTGAATCCTAGAATTCCAATGAAGTACCATATTAAAAAAGCAATCACTACAAAAGGTAGGATTATTTTAACCTGGTATTTCAGCCCAGGGAAAAACAGGCATCTGAATATAATCTTTTTGTCACGAACAGTCTTGACCAGACATGTACTCAAAGGACCCGTTGCTCCCTGAGGCACAGATTTTGATGTAGTATTAAACCAAGCCTCTCTCTCTTCCAGCTGACAGGCAGGAGGCTATGCTGCCCTCGCCATTTCCACCCTATTTCAGAGTTCATAGTGGGTCTTGGATGATTTTACAGGCTAGTCCTAGATGCATATGAAAGCACCCCAATATTGGGAGGTTGATACATACCCAGATATTGCAGATAACATTGCCAGAGTTTATTAATCTCCATTTTATGGCCTACAAGAGCATTGGGGAAAAAAATGCAAAGAAATATAGTACCAAAGGAAGCTACGGATTGTACCTAGGTTATACACTTGGTAAGGAAGCTCTGTAAATAAATCTGAGTATGTGTTGTGGAACCGTTAGAAACACTGAATTTGTCAGAGTTTTCTACGTACATATGAGCTCATGCTTGCAGTTCCTTCAGTTCAGAGAGTGCTGAAGTGATAAACAAAGAAGAAGCAGTGAAGAGAATTAATCCGGATTTCAGAAAAGCTTTTGAAACTACAGCACAAAAGATCAGCTTACAAAGTCACTTAGAAAAGGACCACTGGAATGGATTATAACAGCATACAAGGGACAAAAGATAGCACCTCAAGGTAGAGAAAAATAAATTGGTTTCTGGAAGTATCTGTTTTTTAGTATTATGTATAGAAATGGGGTAAAAGAAAATACAGTTTCTCAAACTACTACATTTCTTTCATGAATGTGTAGAGGAGTTAACAAAAATAAATGTAAAGATCTACTAAATTCATATTCTCTGGAAAGACGATACTGAATTTCATTAAACAGTGTAAAATATGTTGACTAATGGAGGTAAGGACCATAAATACTGTATACTTTTAGTATTTTGAGGGTCCCAGCTCTCATTCAAAGCTGACCTTGTTTTGCATAAAACATAGCTAAATCTTTAACAGCACAATCATTTAAAAAATAGCTTGTTGTGTGGTATGGTATATATAACCAGCTA